CCACCACCACCACCACCACGCCGTCCCCGGCCCAAGCCTTCCCCGCCGCCACCGCCGCCGCCGCCGCCTCTACCGGTAGTCAAGGCACGACGAGGCCTGCCGCCCGGGCTGCTGCAGCTTCTCCTCCGGCTCCTCCCGCCTACACCGCTACGGAAGGGGGAGCCGGCGGCAGCGGCGGCGGCGGCGGCGACGCCCGACGCGGAGGCGAATGGGAGTAGCGATGATGATGATGATGATGATGATGATGACGTCACCGGGGGGGGGTGCGAAACGGTCGGCGGCGGTGGCGTCCCGCGGCTCCTCTTCTTCTTCGCCCGGGCGGAAGAGGATGGGGTACGTCGCGAGAATCGTTCGCAGTCGCGCAACCCCCCGCCCCCCACGTGGGATCGACCCAGTTAGTGACTGGATTTGGCGGAGCGATGATGTAATGAAGGGGGGTGGGTCTTTACAAGCCAGCCCACTGCCGGGGCTGGCTTTCGTTTCGTTTTTTTTTAAGGAAGAGGGAGCGGAATAAAAAAAGTAAAAGAGCGGAATAAAACGTACAGTAGTAAATCAACTTCAAGTGAGAAAATTGTGCTCGTGGTCTTTATTTAGCCCGTGGTGTGTGTGATCAGCCTCTGTTTTTTGTTAGCGACAGCGGTATAAGGGTGGGGAGTGTTAGTGGCGGTGGTGCAGTGAACGGAAGTTAGAACCTTGTAGTCTTGGTTGGTGGTGAGAATGATGCTACGAGCAGTGTGGTTTTGAGTGGTTTTTGCGTGAGGGCGCTTGAAGGCTTGCTTGGTGATCTGATCAAAAATATTGTTGTTATCCCTTTGTTTTTTCTTTTCTTCTTCTTGTTTCGTCGCGTGTTTGGTTCGAGTCTGGCCTGGCTAGATCCGTTGTTCGTTGCCACACGTAGAGGCTGATTTTTGCAGCGGCGTGTGTGATTATGCGCTGCGAGCACGGCCGGTTCCCGTGCTGTGTCTGCACCGGTAGCTGATCCTTGTGCCCGGGTCGGAGTTTATCGGCAGCGTGAAAAGGGAGTGGATTTGCGGACTACCGTTCTTTGTTGCGGAAGGTTAGTATTAACAAGCAAGCGTTTTTTCCACGCGGCGGCACACACACTCACACTTTCTATTTTTTTTTTGGCCCTCCTTTCTCGCGGCAGTGAAGCAACATGTTCAGTCGTTCGTCCAGCGCTCCTCGTCCGTTAGGTGCCTTGCCTCCGTCCCCTGTTGTGTGCGAGAGGAACGATTTTTTTTTTTGGCCATCCGGGCCTGGCGTAGTTTGTTTTTTTTTCTTGGCGGTTTCATTTCGTGTGTCCGTTGGTCGGTCACGCGGCGGGTACTGCCTTCTTCTTTTTTTATGCATTTCCGGGAGTAGTAAAAAGAGAGTTGTAAGAACATGTCTGCATACATACGGACGTCGTTCGTCTTCTCTTTTTTTTTTTCTGTTTCTTTAGTACCATATTCTTTTAGATTTCCACGTGGCGCACCTTGTGTGTGTCTCTCTGCCCCAGTCGGTTGTGTATTATTTGATGATGATGTTGTACCAGCGGTACTGTCACTATTTTTCCTTTCTTTACTCGAGTCAGAGAGGGATAGGGGGCGGTTGTAGATGTGTGGATATTAAGCTTGTTTTTCTTCTCTAAGTTGATGAATTTTTTTATGGTTTGTGTAAGTGTGATGCTTGGGGTACTGAGCAGGGGAGCAGGGTTTCTTGGCCAGACGGGAGTAGATTCTCACCGGCCGGGCGACCAAGAACTCGCTCGGGTCGGTGGAGATAAGCACTTTTCGACTGCGGCGACATCTCCCGCCCCTTCCCCCGGACGGACCCTTGGCTTTTTACGTGCGACGTTTTTTTCGCACGTTCGTTTACACGGTGCTCTCTTGAGTCGGAACCGAACCACCACGTAGTGGGATGAATCCGAGCCGGGTAGAGGGAGGTATCGATATTGCTAGCCGCGTGCCCCCCCTCCGGAGGGTGCAACATGTAGACGGTTGTCTCAGAGGGAGAGCCGTGCGGCGCCACATCGGGCAGGCAGGCAGGGTAGGGTAATTTGTTTTTCAGTCACAACGGCGGACTGCGGCGTGTACCTTGCCTCCACCCACTCTTCACCGCCGGGCGTTTTCTGTCCGACGCTGCTTTGGCAGCTATTGAGGGGGAGGCGGGGGTTGCGACAACTGGCCGAGGGAGAGCTAGACGACATGTTAATTTCCGTGCTTCTGCGGAGCGAGCGCGGCGGTGGGTTGGTTGTGTGAAAAATAAAGGTGTAAAGTAGTCTGGGAGAGGAAGTAAACGGTAGTATAGCATACGGATCGGAGAGAGCTGATGCCCACTGGAGAAAATAGGAGAGAGAGGCGGTCAAGAGGCGGGGGGGGGGCGTACTCTTAAGTTTTGCATGCCTTAGCGGTTAGACCATTGACCACGCGTCCTCGAGGGGGCGGTCAAGAGAGGGGGGGGGGGGCGTTAAGCTGATTCTGCGGCCGTCCGTTCCAGAGGTAGTTCGTGGTCAAAACAAACATTCACTCACGGTAGGATCTCCTATTTTTTCTTTTTGACCACACATTGTAAACAGTGCTGTTCAGATAGTCTAGTCTACACAACGCGGAGGAGGAGTGACCTCGGTAACTTCACGCTGCCGTCGGTGACGACTCAAAAAAGTGTGTTGTGTTTTTTTCCGAGCAAAGAGAGGCTCGCCGATTTTTTATACCGATGATTTTCTGCGTGCGTACGTCCTGCTAGTTGTTTGTCCTTGCTAGCTGTGGCCCAGTCGGCACGCATATGGCAGCAGGCGCGGGGGCCCTGCTCGTTATCCTCATTGTGGTCTGATTCGCGAGACGGGGCGGCGTGGCCTTACGTCTGGGTTTTTGTTCGTCCGGAGTTTTTTTGTCCCGACGGGTGGTTTTGTGTCCCGTTCTATTGAATCTCCCCTCAGGTTTTCGTGCTTTTTGTGTCCGAGCGTTGGGGGGGGTTCTTCTCTTCCGTCCTGCGTATGCCCCGGGTGACAGTTGACAGAGCGCCTGTGACCCGTGGGCCCGCCTAGCCGTTCCTACGTTTAGAGCAGGGTGGGTGGTGTTTTGTATGTTTGGGTGGGGCGATTGCCGAAAGGGGGCAGTGATAGTTTTGCGCCCGCAAAGGCCATACCCGCCCACCCTGTAATTTAGATGCACAAGGTTTTTAGGAATAGGAATACTGCTGTAGCATAGGTTTAGTCTAGCTTACGTCCGGTTGGATTGAGGCATGGGCGAGAGAGAGAACGCGCGCGCGGCCCGCCAAGCATATCGTCGTTGTAGTAGTAACGCCTCCTTCCTACCGCCCGCCAAAAATCATCATCACAGTCTACTCATTGCCCATGGGGGGCAGGGAGGGTCATCATGCCCCTATTTAGATGTTGAGGAGACACAGCAGCAGTCGATTCCGCGCGCCCGGGAGGAGGAGGGGGGGGGGGGGGGTGACCCGCGGGCAAGGTAGCCGGTCATGCCCAAAAGGTTGTTCTCACTACGGTAAACGGCACCCTGTTTTTCGCCTTTGGCAGGCGCAATCCTGCTTTTTTTTTTTTG